CGCACCTGTCACTTTACCGGCCGCACCGTCACTTTACCGGCCGCATCTGTGACATTGCTAAACGTCTGGGTACGTTCCACTTAACGCCCGTAACGATCACGACCGCGACCGCTGTTTTGTCGTTCCACTAGCTTAGAGGCGTTGTGGGCGAAACCTTAAGTGGAACGCTTTTGAGTACTGTGTGACGTCACGCTTGAGTGAACAGTTTTCCAACATGGATGCCGTTGAGGAGATCGTAATGCGTAAAGGATACAAAGTGGGGTGGATTATGAATTCAAAAATCACATTAAGTTAGTAAATATTTTTTTATTTTTCAGTACCAATTATTGACACATACTTCTTCGCTTTACACAAGATTGCTTCTTGTTAATAAAATATTGAAGACGACTTTTGAATTTCTATCATAAATGCTACGGCCATACTTAATACGATGATAATGAACACTTCTCCCCAGAATTTCTTGTGGGAATGCTGCTTCGAAAACAATTTCTCTTCTTCATTCAAAACTAACGTGCATTCTCATTTTCATCAATCGTTGCATTACCATTTATGTCTCATTCGCATTCCCTGGTAAAGCACTTTGCAGCAAACTACTTGTGTTAAAGCAGAATGTTCCTTAACAAATAACTTTAACATTCAGGAATCAGCAGATATACTTACCAGTTTGTGCATGTAGAACATCCATAGTGTAATGTCCACCACAAGGTTACGTTCTGAAACACGTAATTATATTTTCTCCATAGCGAAAACGAAAAATTTGTAACGCATGCGTGTTCAAACTATCATTGTCTGACAGTTAAATGTCTCTAGAAATGTCTCCTGTCAAGAATGTAAGGTTATAAAATTAGAACGCCCACGCTGACCCAGGTACGATAGGCGAGCGCCGTGGGCTCGTTGCGGTCGCTAGTAATGACGTCATATCTGACGTCGCGATTGCGACCATAACGACTGTGGTCGTTATGTGGAACGGCTGCCGGGCGTCGTAGTCGTTGCGGGCGTTAAGTGGAACGTACCATATAATGACTCCTGTCATGACTGACAGATTGACATTAGTCAAAAGTATAATAATTGAAAAATTGAAATTTTATGATAAAATACGATTTCGGGTAAAATTTAATACAAAACTCGTCAGTAAAATGACATTACCTGACTCATAAATTAAAGTACTCGGCCCCAAAGGGGTCTCGCACTTCAATACTTCCTCCCCAATAATGTGTCATTTTCTGGACTTTTATGTAAATAACTATAATGTATAAAGTACAATATTGTAAATAATATTTAATAGGAATATACTGGGTGTTTGTTAAACATGCGGCAGAAATTAAAGAGGGCATTTGCGTAGAATTGTGACTCGGCTTACATGGGTCCACTTTGTTTACACGGACACTGGTGATGTCGTCACGTTACTGGAAATGTTTGTTTTTGTGAACCTAAGAATCTTATGGATATGCGAGTGGAACTAGTTTTATCCTTCATGGTACTCTAATGAAAGGAATTAATTTCTAACCATGGCCCTCCTCCTCGTTTTGTAGTGTCGCCAGTGACTTTTAAAGTTTTAATGTAAGAATTCATTTCTGCAGGGCAGTCTGTTGTAGTTAGTAATAATCCATTGTTTATGAAGAAAATAAGTAAAGATGGAAAAGCGCAAAATGAAAATGATATTCTGGAATGTAGCGGGAGTAGCTGATACAAACGCGCAATTCTGGGAGTTTGTAGGAATATATTATGTCGTGCTTGGATAAAGAATGTACCTAAAAGAGAAATAGAATTAGACAAATTATGAAGAAAGAAAGAAGAGGGGAAAATATTAGCTTTTGTTTTGACGTCACCAATGGATATATTTCTTGCAGATGTCTCAATCGCCCTTTGTGAGTACCCTCTTCCGACAATTCATTCTTGAGGTATATGGGAATATACCCGATCACGATAAGAGGTCGAGGAGGAGAGCTATGGTTAGTAGAAATTAATTCCTTTCGTTGAGACTTTTCATTCGAGTACCATGATGAAAATTAATTGCAATTGGTTGTCGTATGTAAAAGCTATGCACGTTATACTTTCAAAAACAGCATCTCAGGAAATAATTTCTGGGGGGGGGGGGCCTTTTAGACAGAGAAATTTGATGGACGTCTGGCACGCCTTCAAGGTATAGACTATCTACTGCAAAAAATTCCAGGACTCTAGGACCATTTGCCTAGAAGTAGTTCAAAACGGCGGAAGTGGGTCCGGACGGATGGACGGACGGACGGGCAAAACGCAAACAATAGCACATTTTTTTTATTCTTAAAAAATGCGCTAAAAATCGAAAATGATTGGATTTGGGAAGGTGGGTGGAAAGACAAGAAATAGAAATGGAGGGGGAAAGAATAGAAGAGGTAGGTGAAAGAAATTAAATATTTGGCGTTCCAAACCAAAGAAACAATGGGGAAAATGCACAGATAAAGGAATTAGAGGAAGAAACCAAAGTGGACGAGATAAGGATAGCGTCGGGGCCCAGGGCGGTAAGAATCGAGGAAAGGAGCGATAGAGAAAGCAAATTAGTGAAAGAATGCTTTACAACGAGGATGAACTCAGAAGGAATGTGGGAAGAATAAAGTTTTCCATTTTCCAGGAAATTTCTCTCGATTTGGGCGCACCATCCTGTTGAAACCAGCAGTTTCCAATTTGTGTGTGCCGTATATCGTTATATTCGTAATAAAAAATGTTACTCAATATACAGTGTGAACCTTTTCACGGGTGTTTAAAAAATAAACTGGATTATAATTTCCCTGAAACGAAACATTGAATTGAAAATCTCTCAATGCTCAATGACAAAGTGTTTTTTATTTGTTGTATCTGTTCAAATAACATCCGATAAAATATATATACGAAATCGGTAAATTTCGGTTTCTCTGGCATACGTTCGGAAGTGATCGGAATTTTCTAGTTTTCTTTAAAGCACGACATCTATTCCCTAATTTGACCATCTTCGTGTCTTCTATGGCTTCATAGATTCCCATCATTTTCTTGGACACCGTGTATTTTTATATTGTTGTACCTACATTTGTAATGAACCGAAAACGCCAAATGCAGCATGACTCCTGAAAAAATGCGCGGAAAAACGACACGGGGAATAAAATGCGAACATAAATGAGAAGAGCGTAATTTGCTTTCTCTATCGCTCCTTTCCTCGATTCTTACCGCCCTGGGCCCCGACGCTATCCTTATCTCGTCCACTTTGGTTTCTTCCTTTACCAACGCATTAACTGTTATATTGTCTTTCTAACTTTATTTTTAGAATACAGGATGCTATTGTATGTAGTGGCAACTAAAGCGTTAATGCACCTATGGATTAGAATTGTACGTGTATATATTTACGCTCAAAATTATTAGAACGTCAACCTATTTTTGTGGTTTTGAATAATTCGAGAATAATAAATGGTTTTGAAAGTAATAAACCTGAGTACATTTACTTATAAAGTAATGTCTGTTGTGCAATACGCGTTTGCCGCACTTCACACATTGAAACCGGATAGTATTTTGTAGCTTTATCGGGAGCAGAATAATGATTAATTTACAAATCTAAAGGATATTGTGACAAAATATAAGCGAACTTGGCACGCTTATTATTTGCGTCAGGATAAACTGGTGTCGTATTCTTCCACATGTAGGTACTGTTGTCCATTGCGAAAAATCACTTTTTGTAAAGAAAATGTTCTTATAGCACAAAGATTGACATTTATGTATTGCAGCAAGTTATCAGTTGATAAATACTCCAAATGTCATTAAAATCGCCTCCGCCTGATTAAAGCTTTTAAAGAGAGCGGCTAAAGGTAGCTGTTCTCTAAATCCAAATGAATGCACGACTTAAGCAATGCTAATAATAACTAATTAACGTAGTTGATTGATCTAGAAAATCTGAGAATAGATTTGGGAAGTTGATTTTTACACGACTAAATTATTTAATGGGCATTTCCTTTTTTTGGAAGACACATTTGTATAGTTTGGCACACACCCCTAAAAAGTAGGTCGATAACATTTGTATATAACATATCGGTCGTTGATTTCTGTTGATAGTTTTATTCTATTTTATGATCAGATAATGCTAGAAAATACGCGAACGTTCCCGATAAATTATGGATTACAGGCTCGCCAACATAACTCATAGATTTACACCAGGAAGTCGAGCCGAATATCAAATAACTTATGAATGTTTACGTAAAACTGGCGGTATTTAATTAAGGTTAGATTGTGCGTGCGTATACCTAAATTATTACCGGTGGAGCGTTAATTTTTTTCTCGCCCGCCTAATTAGGGGGTAATCGTTGGAGGATTTTGAAGAGGGTGAAAGCCGAAAATACCGTTGCAGCAGATTGAATAAATTCGTATCTGATGGCCGATAGAGTGGCTGCGCTTGACATTTTTGACAAATGTAGCGGCGTCGATTGCAAATCCAATTTTAAGAGCGACGTTAACGGCAGGGATCCTTTAAGAAAACATTTCTTGGAAAATAATCAGAATTCTGACAACGCTCTAAAGTTGGCCGTAATAAAAAACACCGCTAATACATCACAATCTTCCGGTATTAATAATACCCGCTCTAGTAGCTACGTTTCGATTTATATTTTTTTCTGCGGGCGCATAAATTATGGCGCCTCGCGTTAAGGGGTTTAAATTCGAGTGCAATAATCGGCGAATTAACTTATCATGTAAACAAGTTACGTTGTCGCGTATTATATAAGGCTTAATTTCCATTTTTAACGCTCGCCTGTCATAATTTTGCGGCTCTCCGAATTTCTACGTTTCCCCAATGGGATAAACGTAAAAATGAGATTACATATAGAAATATTTATAAGTCGCTCCCTTTAGAGCTTCATCGACCGAAAGCAAACCGCCATAGTTTTTCCGACTTTGAGACACTTAAATCTTCGCGCGCCTGTATTTTTTAACGCAATTCAAAATGCAAATCGCCACGACTGGCGCCCAGTTTATTTAACATAATTCAGTCGTTTTTTCTATTGCAGGGAAAAGCTTCACGCTGTCGATAATTGTTTCGACGACGCCACCCCAAGTAGCCACTTACAGTAAGGCGATAAAGGTAACGGTGGACGGACCAAGAGAGCCGAGATCAAAAACGAGACAGCAACTTCATCACTTCCCCTTCGGTCCGAGACCTTTCGGACCCGATCCACTAACAGGTGTATTACCATTCAAATTAGGAGGTGAGTGCACGAATTTCGTTCTAATGAGGTTAAACCGATCTTATTTTGACGTTTGTAATCATCTTCAAGAACCGAGATAATTGCTCCGCTTTAAAGATATCTGAAGGGTAGATGTAACAAGCGCAACTATTAACGCGATAACTACCAATTACAGATGGGGCTTTAAATCACTTTAATTAGCGCGTGTAGTACAGTTGATTATTACTGTGACGTTAAAATAAATTTACGGCTCAGTAAACCTAAAAGCTTCACAATTTTTTCGGGATTCATCTCCTGATGCTAATTAATTAACGAGGGAATCCGCAGCAGTTCGCAGCCTTTCCTACAGTTGAGGAAACGGGCTGCATTGATTTACAGGCGGCTGAGCATCTGTAAATTTAACCCTTTCGGTTTGTATGTGTGAAACGGTTTGTGATACACGCGAGAGATGGCGTATACCTAACAATTTTCGATTTTCTCTTCTCTTGGTTTTGATTTTTGTAAATCTGAACGGTTTCCCGAATGTAATTGTGGAATTCCGTACTAACATTTATGTTTTCTTTTCATACTAAATGGGCGGAAAAATCTTTCTATAAAACACACTACACAGGATCGTTTGAACTGATTAAACACAAGACAAATAGGGTTAATAAAAATTTGAGAAGTTCGCAGAGAACAAAACCGGCATACACAAGCCTTGTTACAGAAGTGAACTGACACACCCTATACGCTATCCCATAAAACTACCCCATGGAATTGTCTGTCAATTTACCACACACATGCGACGTACTGTACACTAACAGTTGACTTTTATTTGAATTTGCAGTATACTTGGTTGCATAACCAACTAATTTCCCAAATTTAAAATTGTCTTGTAGTGATTCCTATCCCACGTCATCCTTTATTTATTTGTTGCCATTATAACTACAAAAATGTTCCCTTAACCTAGGCAAAATTGTCACAAAATTTAAAATAATTCAATAATTAATTTCGGTAGTCAAAATTCAAGATGGCCGTTGAATTTTATGTTTGATTAACAAATTTGTAACTTCGTTATGCGGCAAAAATGTTTAAAATACAAAGATAAATGTATAACAAAATATCCACCGCCTTAATTTTTTTTTTCAAAATTGCGGCCATTAAATCTATTTAGTTTTGAAATATTTAAATGACCGCCATTTTAGAAAAAAATATGTACCTACTCAAAGTTCACTGCCGCTTTAGTAGATTTTACTAATAAAAATGCCCTCATCAAAAAATTAACACAGATTTTAGAACTAAACGTATACTGAAATTGAAATGCATTTGAATTTCTTCTCGTGTGGTCTACATATTATACCAAAATCCTAACCCCCTGTAATGTTCCTAGGGGTCTATCAAGCCGACACTGAAAATGTTGACTTACCCAAAACTTACTGTTGGCAACTCTGCGAAAAAACTACAAGCAGAGCCACCTACCTTTCAAGTCGAAACTTTGGACGTTTCGCGGCACTTTTGAATTTGGATGGCAGTCTGCTTGATATGGGTGGCACGAATGGACTCCTACGTTGTGTAATCGGTTCTTGTATGGGTTGGGACGTGAGACATAATCGGGAAGCGAATTAAATAAAAGACAGAACTTTTGTGCGTAAGAAATGATAAGAACAAATAAATATATTACGCACACAACAAGACCATGCTAGGGAAACCTTCTACGGGACAAAAACCCCGGCCTAGGCTACACAAATACATGAAATAAATCACCTCCCACATAGCAGACCTAAATACATATACTATGTACATTCCACGTGGGATATTGTATATCCATAGAATGTGGAAAAGTATGTTGCAAATGTCCGATGTATGTGCATGGGATATAAGTTTGGCAGACTTCACATAATACATATTATATACGTTTTGGATGTCTTATGTATATGTATGTATATACTTCAGATATGCTATGTATATTGGTATACTGACAACTAGATGTACCATGAATATTCCTGTAATATGCAAAAGATGTTCAATAGGATATTCTATGTATGTTGTATACATTCAGAATGGATGTTCTATAGAGATTCCTCTAACATTCGGGAAGATTACAAGCATCTATACCGACATAAATAAATTCTTTTCACGGAGTGGAGCTTTTTCTTTATTAAGTCTCCTAGTATACAATGGAAAATGTGCTTAAGAAATTATTATTGTTTTATTTAACAATGTATAGTCTTGAGTCATTTTGATCGTATTCTTGTTCAACACTATAATAGCGCGAGTTGATAACAAATAGGTTGCTAATATACCTGCTATTCTTGTCCTTATATTAATTCCCATTCAGTCTTTACATATCACTAAGCGCCGATTCTACAATGCAGGTATATACCGAGAATAAGTTATACCTAGAATAAACTTTGTCAGTTGCGTTGGTTACCATTGGGTCAACCAATGGGATAGTTGTTGCTATGGCACTTATTCCAAGAATATCTTATTCTGCGAATAGTTGTAATTGTAGAACCGGTCCTAACACATACTTGCAACGTTAGGTCATGCACACACGAAATAAATCATTACTTTCACTGTCCAAATTAGACAAACACTCATTAATAACTCGCGGAATAACACTACCGATTTTAGAAAAATGAACTGTATTTTCAATAGCACTTTACTATCTTCATCGCCGTAATTCACAGAAAATGAGACGCTAACGTTTGTAACGTCGGTAATACAGAAAACGCTTGTATCAAATCCAAAACATTTATACATAACTTATAATCCCATGTATATACATAGCACATCCAAAATGTATATTTATAGAATATCCATACTGGACATAAAATACATATGTCTATAATGAATATACATATTCCCCGTACATTATGGATTTAAAATGTATATACATAAGATATCGATTGCTATGTGGGCTACAGCAATAAAATGCAAGAGAAAATACACATAAATAAAACATCTCAAATTGTATGATAAAAATCAGATAATCAAATCAAATGCATAAAAACAAAATACACAAGACATCATAAATGCAGTGGAAAACATGATAAATCAATTCAGTACAAAAACACATCAAAATAAAATAAAAATAATGTAAATTACATATAACTTATTTAAGATTAGAATATAAAACCCAGGAAAACCAAGATATTTCGAAGACTATCAGAGATAGGTATAGGACATTATTATCAAAAGTTGAAGGTTTTGGGAGGAGCTAAATGATGACAGAAAAATATACAGGGTGTTCCATTTAAAAAAGCAATGTTTTAATATGAAGTTTTGCAACCTTGGACCTACCAAAAAGAACACCCTGTAAGCTGTATTTTTAATGTCTCATAGTAACGGCCGAACAAAAATTAGTTGCTGTCGAGTTGCCTTTGGAAGTTCAAGTTAAATACGATTTTCCATGTAAACAAAAATTTCAAAGGCGACTCGACAGCAACTCATTTTTGATCGCATAGTAGATGTATTTATTTGACTTTTACTTAACCCAGGATAAAAGATATAAAACCTGGAATCAAAATTTAAGTAATAATTTTGACAATATACTGACGCTTGCAAATGCCCAATTTTTCTTAAAAATCGAATTATCTTTAAAACTAGTAACTGTTCGGATATTAACCATATAATAAAAAAGACATACAATTACACGTAGAATTCAAAAATGCATTCAAATACAGGGGGTTCTATTTAAAAAAATGTACCATTTGGGCGCACCCTGTATAATTCCAAATATTTTTAAAATGTGAAGAATATTCAACCATAGCATAACACAAAAACACTATCGAAAAATCTTATCTTCAAGGCATTAAGTTACTCCGCGCAATCGTTGACTCACCCTGTACGTAAGATCGGAACGATCGAAGCAATTCATAAGAGCAATGCTCTCCAAAAGGTTTCGATAGTTCTTGCAGTTACAATTCAGGAACAATATTCAAATCTCCAAGTGTAAATCTTTCGAAGTAGGTCAGTACCACGTGATGTCTCCAATGTCAATCTGACTTAAGATGGCAGGTCCATGTAAAATATGATGCCATCTAGGTTCTGCGTCGAAACACTAAGGTAGATGAATAGAATAAAGGAAAAGTAAACCAGAAGGAAAATTAGGAGTCTTAGGCGAGAATGAGGAAAAACTTAGGAGAGAACAATGAGGAAAGAAAACAATGAGAGAAGACAGACCCCTAAAAACTTACGTTATAATAATAATAAGTCAAGTAAAGGTAATGGCGTATTAAGAAAAAGCAACCACTATGAAAGCAGAATCATTGAGCTGATAGGTTTGCTCAAATTAGATTTTGCTATGGTTACAATAATGCTGTCACAATTGTGTCTAGCAAGATAAATTCATCACCTTTTGAGCTTAATTTCTACCAATCCAATGTGTTTGGCCAAAACAGGGCGAATCTACGCAGCATATACAGCGTGTCTCCCAATTGTTTGGCCGTCTCTTGTAAAAAACAAAAAAATTCGAATTTAATTTTGAGCTCTGGGATCAGCCCTGTTTTGTTAAGAACTAATTTATGATATAATTTTAGTTTCGAAAAATCAAAGGTGCCTTTACAATTTGCAAAAATCGTTACCGGTAACTTTGGGCACGAGATGCGCACATATGTTATTAACAAAAGCTGTTCAGAATGAAAAACTGAGTAAGCGTGCAATTTCAAAGTCCTAAGCCTACTTTGATTTTTAGCGCACTTTTTTAGAATTAAAAAGAATGTGCTATTGTTTGCGTTTTCTCCGTCCGTCCATCTGGATCCACTGCTACCGTTTTGAACTACTTCTAGGGGAATGGTCCTAGAGTCCTGGAACTTGTTTGCCATCAAATTTCGTTGTCTAAAAGGGGGGTCCCCCCACGAATCATTTCCCGAGGAGATGCTGTTTTTGATAGTTTGATAGTAAAACATGCATAACTTTTACATACGACAACAAATTTTGCATACGCATGCAAGTGCCAAGTTAAACTTTAGAAAATTTGGGGGGGGGGGGGGGGGGTTAAACACATGTTGTACCATTCATGGTATTCTAAGGAAAGGTCT